AGGTACACCAGAAGCTCTGCGCCCTACATCCATCCCCAACCAGAACCATTCCTTCCGTGCTCGGCCGCTGCAGTGACGTTCTGGGCGAGGGCGGCTTCGCCAAAGTCTGCGGCGGACTCAGCTATGAGCCAGCTTTGCCGCTTTAGGCTTAGGCTCGAAAGGATGTGAGAGTTTCGGATTCCAATCTCAATGTGAGCTCAGGTCGTGCACAGGAGAAGCTCACGGGCGTCGATCGGGCTGTTCCAGCACGCTTCTCTCTACGTCTGTGCATTAGCTTTACCTCTGGAGTCTAAGGGAAGCTCGCTGAGGTTACTATGTTACTGTCACTTTCAGCTGTTTGAGGTTCGGCTCAGGGTTCAGGGTTTTGGACTCTGCAGGTCTTCGTAATCTTTGCATCTGGGCTTGATCCACCCGTCCAGCAAGTTCAAGTCGCTCAAGATGAGCCCTAGAGCGTTCGTAGTTCTGATGGTCGTGGTGTTCTTGGGTTGCCAGGCTTTGAAGATCATCGTCAAGAGCCGCGTACCCAAGTATGACAGGCTGCTATTGCGACTTTCTGTTTTTGTGATTTCCACTTGGAGGGTCGGGTTCAAGTACGAATTCAGATCCAGATTCAATCAGAGAGCAGCCATTGTCAATATGTCCATCAAACACGTGAGGAACTGTGAGGAATCGTGCTGATGTACCTCACTCCACGTCCTCCTCTTCATCATCTCATCGGCATCATCGTTGGTATCGCCGTTGTCATCAGAGTGCCGAGAACTGCCCTGCTGCCTGGAGCGTGAGCCCCAAATCTCCCCTCCCCCACCCCCGGGCGGCCCCGCAGGCTGGAGCGCGAGATAAAGACCATGTTCTCCATGGATCATCCGCATCGGCCTCGGCTCAGATTCCATTGGTTATGTGGCGTTGGGACCCTCGGGATGAGACGTTTCGGTGCTATGTCTCTTGAACAAGACAGACAACACAGGAAGCTGTTGACAGTTCGAGAGCTGCTTTCATCGCAACCACCTTGTGAGCATTGTCCGACAGGCCCCAAGACTTATGTCCAGTATGCTTAGGCACTCCTTTCTGGAGCAACCCTTTCTACTTCAGAACCTAGCAGCCATGCACAAATCGTCAACCTCTATTCCCTGAGGAACATCATCAAAGTCTTTGAGTATTTCGAGGACTCCAAGCAGATTTATTTGATAATGGAGCTCGCAACTCAGAGATCTTCGTCATCTGGGTTCTTGCTTGGACTTGTCCCTTGGTGCTAGTATACAGTATAAATAGTATAAATGCAGGATGCTTTGCTACGGGGCCTCGCGGGTTTGTGCGGTCTCCAGGAGAAGGGGGCAAGGGTTTGAAGCACCCTGCTCATTCTGAGGCGTGAACGGGGTTTCAAACACGCCGGAACAGAAGGCTCTTAACAGAATCTATTACTTGCTGCATGCCAGAACATCGGCTCAGGTTCAACACTTCAAGCTTGCAAGAAACATGTCACTCGATGGCGAAGATTCACGGTCATGAGGAGACTACACAGCATACGAGGATCAACGAGAGATCAACACGGCGAAGTCTGTGTCGGAATTGCGTGTGAGTGTGCATACACATCCGCGAACTAGCGGAGACTTTCAGACAGTGCCGATCGGGAAGACTGCATACTTGAGGGGATCTAAAGGGATGTGCAAAAGGCTTCGTGCTGCGCCTTTTTTGTGTTGTGGATTCTGGCACGTTACTGTGTCGCAGGAGATAGGTTCCCAGTCTGCAGTAGCCACCTGTTGATGAACGGCAAGAGTCAGCGGAGTGGGAAACGACGGAAGGATGACCAGAGCTATGGACGCGAACCGATGAGGTCCCAAGCAGTGACATCGGTTGTGCACTCGTTTGGCAAGGATCTATATGCAGTTATCGGCGAGCTCCAGCTTTTTTTAATAAACAGACACCTCCAAATTGAAATTCTCAAAAGAGCTGACAATCAGGCTTGGACCCACCGATCTCAAGCAGCGACCCTGTACAGATCATCAGATCGAAAGATCGGAGTTAATCGACCCAACAGTGGCATCCGTGACGGCAAAGTGCGACGTTCACCTGTTGAGGAGAAGTGTCGATTCTCTCTGTCTGGAAGACGACAGCACGTTCACGGTTTCAGCGATCGTCAGCACTGCTCCAGCATCAAACGCTGGGGATGATACAACTGTTTCTTTCCGTGGTGCACTCAAGCACAACCACACCGCGCTGAACAACTCCCAAGATTGAGTTTGGTGTCCCAGGTGCTGCAAGGGCGGAGAACTCTTCGATGCCATCTTGGAGCAGGTGCATGCTCGTGATTGGTTTTGAAACGTTGAGGCGCTTGACCATGCAACAAAGGCCGCATGCGGCGCGAGAGTCGGAATTCGGCGGGAATGGCAGGTGTAACTCCTTTTCGCAAGTCAGTGTCAGAGTCATCAGCAACAAGACTGCCCTCAAGCCGTTTAAAGTGCCATCCAGCTGGTGGAGACTTGCTGCTGAACTTGAATCCTACCCTCACCCCAAGCCTTAAGCCTTAAGCTCCCACATCTCCAGGGCAGGATGTCCGAGGCAGATGCAGCTGCGGCCCCGGATTGCTGGGTTTCGGGTCTGGGAATCAGGGCTTGCGGTGCGTGCTTTTGGATAATTGGCTGAAGATTCTGCATCTGATGGTATTCGTGCTGACAAGGTTTACACTTTGCCTGTAAGACGTGTTAAGTTGTAAGTTGATCAAGGTTGCATCTGTTTCTCTGGTTTCCGGAAGTATGAAACAGCTGACGGGCTCCGGGCAGTGAGTACCGGAATAGTGCCGCTACTGCACGAGTGCTACATTTACTACATTCTACTTGCTCCTTGCTATGTACTAAACACTGCCCCTATCACAACTGCTACTACTACTACTACTACTATTACTACTACTACTACTACTACTACTACTACTACTTCCTGCTGCTACTACTACTACTACTACTCCTCCTACTCCTACTCCTATTCCTACTCCTACTGCTACGGCTGCGGCTACGGCTATTGCTACTGCTACTGCTACCTGTACTGCTACTACTGCTACTGCGACGACTACGACTACGACTACTACGACTATGACGACGACTACTACTGCTGATGCTACGTCCTCGATCTCGTCGATTGTGTGTTCCCAGGCCATCATCATGCAGCAGATCTTTAAAGCGATGGTGTACATGCATGAGGCACGGAGTGCGGAGAAGCTCCTCAGGGCATCTAAAGCGCTCGAGCTCGAAGCTGTGCCTGACTGCTCAATGTTCAACCCGACACCCCGAAAATGTGAAGTGTAAGCCCTAGCCCCAAAGTCTGCGAAGCTCTGAACCGAACCTGCCCCTGCAGAATGGAGTCTGCCACCGCGACCTGAAGCCTGCTGTGAGCTCAGAGGGCTCGGCTTTGATATTGTACCTATCAATACTCGTGATGACAATATCACGAAGGGAGTCATAGTATCATGACGGCACCAGAACTCCCGGTTTCAGAGTTACGGTGATGTGAGCAATCAGATTGTCATTTCCAGCTGCAACATCGGTGGCAGTTCGTAACCAGCCCCCAAGCTTCCGGATACGATGCACTGTGCTCATCATGCTTGCTTCGATCCTGCCCTGAATAAACGGCATTGGCGAAGAGCCCTTCATTCGTACACTCTTGTCCCGCAAGGCCTGACTAAGTTCATCTAAGCTCCAAGCCGAACCTCATCCCAGAGACCCAAGCTGAAGTCGCCAGAGGCGTGACAGAAGACTTGAGATGTCTCATGCCTCATGCCCCAAGCAACTGGAAGCTTTGGGAAGCCCTTGCCCTCCCAGAAAACTGCACGTAAGTTTGCCCGCACCCGCCCGAAGCTGGAGTGCTTGAGGCAAGAAGCTGCAGACAGCCTGTTAGTGTTGTGGTGAATACGAAGAACTGTCATTATTGTTGGCTTGTGGAGATGTGCTTTGTCCTGACCGTAAGCCTTCGAGGAAAACTTCCTCTTCTTGAAGAAAGCGCCGATCAAAGGAGCTGTCCGGGAAGCTTAGGGAATGAGGGATCGGGAGTTTTGGGTGTGGGGCTTGCGAGTGATGCTCTTATTGCCATGGTCATGGCGATGATGCAGACGATAACTTGTGCAGCTGATTCGCTTTTCATCATTCGGTATGTAAATATGATTTAGATTTTTCAGTTGGCACAGTTGTGGTTGTGAGTACTTTTGGTGCTGCGGCTCGTCTTGTGGCCTTGATGATGTTGAAGACGATAATGTTGATGGTGATGATGATTTCAAGCCATGGCGTCATGGTGTCGCGGGTCATAACAGTTTGACAGGGATTGTTGTCTGGACGTTCGGACTTCAGGTGTGGCAATTGAATTCATAGCCGGCTGATAATAACTGTGCCCCATTGTGTGTCACGGCATGGATCTGGAATCTGGACCACACCTTCCCCAAATCTGTAAACTCGTAATGCCACCAGCGCCTGCTCCAGACAACGTTCTCAAGATCATTGACTTCGGCATAGCCGCGCATTTCGAGGCACGGCCAAGCTTGCAGCGAGCAAGAGTAGAAGCATGTAGCACGTGCTGGGACAGCGGTGGTACACCACGAAGAGAGAAGAAGCATGCTGTATGCTGTTGCCTGCTACTACTGCTACTACTACTACTACTACTACTGCTGCTGCTGCTGCTACTACTACCACCACCAGCACTAGTACTACATGGTACTGGTACTAAATGGTACTAGTACTAGTACCAGTACTAGTACTACTGCGACGTCGAAATGGCTAGGTGGACATTGCTTGCAAAGCCTGGAACCCTTCGACGCCTTTTGCACCCCAACATCAAGAGTAAACTTGAGTAAACATTTCTCAAACGATTTCTGAAACTGAAGCAGAGGTGTCACAGGCCTCAGGTGCTGAATCCTAGACTCGACTCACTGTGCAACCCGCAGCTTGTAAGGCTCGAGCCACTCCGGAAGCGAAATGCCCAGCTTCAAAGCCGAACCTGCAAAATCGTTTAAGCTGCACCAGGCCACTCGGCATTCGGTGGCTTCGTTCAGTTCCAAAGTCGGCACGTGCTGCCCGGCATGTCTCAGAGGAAGGGGAGGTTGCGCCTGCTTGTCGTGGTCTCGGGATCTTACAAGTACCGATAAGCCGAGCCCGAGGTCTGTGCGTGACACCAGTATCGCGTCCTTAACCTTCTCATAATTAATTCCATCGTCTTCCTTTCACCATCTGTCCTTCCAATGTCGCAGCGGTCATCATCGCCACCAGTTTCATCACAGTTTGTTATTTCCTCATCATCAGTGACATCACCACTCCCATCATGATCTTTTTCACATTCACCATAGCAGCAAGCACCTTCATGAACCTGCATGGATCAAGGACGCTCATGTCACTGGTGATGATGATCGCCATCAGCACAACCCTCTAAACTAGGACTGATAATTTTCTGTTCTTTTTTGCTACAAGAAGCATCGACGTCCAAGATTCCTCGTGCAGTTAAAACCTAAACTGTGCATATTTGTCGTTTCGATTGCAGCGCTTGTTTCATCCCGGCAGTTGGGTTTACATTGACTCTTCTAAACTGATATGCATTACAGATTCGCGACAGGCCGTACTATGTGGCACCGGAGGTGCTGCCTAGATTCCCCAGGCCGGTGTTTAAGGTTCTTTCCAGGAGGTCGGCATCATGTTGCCCGGTTCGATAATGCTTTGTGAATTCTTCCATGCTTTATGTGAGTCAGGGTTTTATTTTCGGGTTCCGGGTTTAGTCTTGCGCTTGAAAGCTTGTTGGAATCTTGCGAAGACGAACCAAATCCATCGAGGAAGCATCAGGGTGCCGTCGTTTGATTGCTCTGGCAGCTGTGATGCTGTGTTGCGTTCTGCTGCTGTTTTTTGTCATGTGTATTGCTTTGGGTGGTGGGCCCTGGTGTTCGTCAAAGGCATGGCGTCTGTGCAGTTCGTCGCAGTCGTCGTCTCAGTAAGTATCGAGCGGCAAGCGGTAGTCGCAGCACTAGCAGTAGCAACAGCAGCAAGGAGAACTTCTGGAAGAAGTTGAGGTAGGAAATCCTTGTTGTGAATCTTTCGATGCAGGTACAGCGAAAAAGTCGACTGCTGGAGTGCTGGTGTCGTCCTGCAGGGGGCAGAGATTGCGTGAGTTGAGCCTTCGGGCCTTCGGGTTCTCTCTGGAAACTCCGTTTTGATGCTTGTGGAAGCTGCGATTCGATGGAATTGCTTCTAGCATGGCCGGCGCTAGTGCGACTGTAATGTGAGGCACTTGCGGCTGAGCTTAAGTATGCAAAGCCTCCGAAGAAGTAAAGTCTCAGAAGAAGGCAAGCAACTTTTCTGTCTAAGTCTGGCGTGGGCCACCTCACTAGTGAGCCCATTTGTAACGTCTTGTCACGCTTTTCCATGAGGTCCCACCTGGATGAAGTCTTAGGCTGGTGGGCATGGCTGGTTGTAATCTCTTCTATCCTTGCCCTTTACCCTAAATCCTAAGCCCTAAATCCAAGACGCTAAACACTGAACCCTAAGCCGGGCTCTCTGCGTGGCCTACGGCCGAGGTACATCCTGCTCTCCGGGATCTTCCCCTTTAAGGAAGAGGGCACGACAGCCACCTTGCAGAAGGCGCGCCCTTTGCGTCCTCGCTCGAGCTCGCGATAGGTATCCTAAGCATGGGGTTTAGGGTTTAGGGTTTACACCCCGAAGAACTCCTGATGCTGGAAGAGAACCCTGAACCTTGCGAACCCTCTTGGCGCGAACAGGCGAAGCCTGGAATCCCAAACGGAAGCATTGCAAACTCCATCAACACCGTCGGATCGGAAGCCTTAGGGCGCATGCCTTCGAGTTGTGTAGCTACACAGGCGACCCTGAGAGACTTCACATTCTGAGACGACCAGTTCTGGCACGCAACACGTAGAACATCACTGCCAGGTCAGAATGGCCCACTAAACCCTAAACCCTAAACCCTAAACCCTAAACACATTGGCGAGCCCACGGTCGAACATCACTGCCAGGTCAGAACGGCCAAGTGCACATTTCCACCAGAAGCCTTTCAGGGCGTCTCCAGAGCAGCGAAGGACTCGACTTGTTCGAAGGTTGCTCTGATTTGGGTCTGGGCTTGAGGGCTTTGTGGACTGAACTTCGGGCTCCATGTCTCTGCGTGGTGGAAAGGTAGTGGGATATCATGGCATGCAGACACATTGAACGAAAAGAGATGCAGGATTAGTCGAGTCGCCGGAGTGCTTCTGTATGTGTCTCCTGCACAGCACTCTCCTTCATGATTCCTAGAGGTTGCAAGCGCTTCTGCTGATCTCGCGCAACTTCTGGACAGCTCGGAGAACAGGTTCCCAAGAAGTGGATGGGCACAGATCCTCCACTCGTGGCCGTGTTGCGCAACTCTTCCTTCACCATTGATGCATTCCCGAATACGTGTAGCATGGTGTTCTTTATGTCTACAGGCTGTAGGGTCAAGGGTTTAGGTGGCTCATGGTATCACCTTTGCGCGGCGCATTTTCTGGCCACAGTCCCATGATAGCCCCGTCTGCCCAGGACCCGAGTGCATGGCAAAATCCATGCTTTGGCACTGTCTTGCTTGCTGAATTGCGTTCCCGCCACAGTGCTGTGCGAGTTTGGGCGTTGTGGGATGAACATTGCTCGCGCTATAATCTCTTGCTCATTCTGGCCCTCACATCGCTCGATGTCTCGAAAGTCGCTCCGCGGCCATGCTACTCGCCTCCTCAGAGCGCACATGCGGTTTCTGTATAAGGTGTGTTGGAGTTTTGAGAAGATCGCAACCATGCTCAACCACGACATGGCCGTGTGTGTATTTCGGGTGCGCAGCGTCTTCCTGTTGCCTGCGCAGTCCTGCGCATTTCGTGCATTTCCGAACCCCCAATTCCTACTCTCGCCCTTCTCGTGCCAGTCGTACCCCAGACACAGTGTATGGCTCATTTTGATTCGTGGCATGCGTTGGGAGCTGGGAACTGCTGTTGGGTATGTAGCGACTAGATTCCAACCGTTTGGGATGTAGGCTGACGTGATCAATCAGTGTAGAAGAGCTGCCCAATGTGGAAGAGGTGCAGGAAAAGCAATTCAAGCCGATCAACTAGGATCATCCTTCTTCTTATCGAACCTTAAGCTTCGATGTCAATGGTCTCTGTGAAGTCGTAGGTCATGGAGGCGCGTGTAGGGTTTTTTCGACAAGCTAGAAGCTACCCACGGAGGAGCTGATCAAGAAGCTCCTGCAGAAGAGTCCGGAGCAGCGACTCTCAGCGAAGGAGGCCGGAATTGAGGCTTCCGCAAGAGAAAAACAGCGGACTTGGTAAGGAGGGGTATAAGGAAGGGTGGGTATCTTGTACTTGCGGTAGCTTTCCTTTCTCAGTTGCCGACCGCCGGTACTTCTCGCTGCCGAAACCCCAGGTGCATTCAAACTTATTTGAGGATTGATTGCCTTCCCGCACCCCCAGCCGAAAGCTTCTACTCTTCGCCCCACAGAAGCCGAGCCGAGTCTCCTCTCCTCGGTTCAGTTCAAGCCGTTCAACCATAAGATGACACTGAGCATTGTTGTTTTAATCATGCGGCTACCAGTGATGACCACGACGATGACGACAAGAAGCCCTCAGCCACGGACCCTGCACACTCCCGACCGGTGCCTCGTGAATGTTTTGTGTGCTTGTGATGCTCGGGTGATCCTGTCCTGTTATTTTTTTGCCTTTGGGCTTTAATGGATTTGATGATGGCCTTCAGGACTGTCTCGACATCCTATGTTCTGAGGCATTGAGAGATCCTTGGCTCACCAGCTCTGCGTCCGGCGCTTAGGAGGGGGGGAATCGGTGGCGCCCGGACCAGCTTCGACGATCTGTGTTCTTGATCATTCTCGATCACGAGATCTAGGTTTAACACTAGATGTCGGTTTAACGGTATCCCCGCAAAAAAAAGGCTGTGTTTCTTGGGCTCTATTCGTCCCGCACAACGCAAAAGCAAAGAGCAAGCCCGTTGCTGTCGTATCGCAGCTAGGGCTATTGCAAAAAACCCTTTGCCAACATGATTGCCATGTTCACACTTTGCCGCGGCTTGTGCCTGTGTCATCATGTGCCTTGTTGTTATGAGCAACATGTAGACGAAGTGGGACGCAGTGATATCAGTCTGTGTCAACACAGAAACACACATATATACATAATATACATATATATATATATATGTGTGTGTGTGTGTATGTATCTATGCAAGTACACACGTCAAGTATGTGTCCATGACTGACGTCTGTCTGTCTGTCTGTCTGTCCGTCCGTGCGCACCAACAGCAAAAAGCAACGCCCCATTCCCCCGCTCCCCCTCCCTCTCCTCTCCCTCCCCTCTCCCTCCCTCCTCCCTCTCTCCCCTCTCCTCCCTTCCCTGTCCCCGCTCCTCCCTTTCGTGTTGGCAGCAAGCTATGGCGAAGTCCAATTTGCAGCGGAATTCCAATGAAGCAGGTTCCTGTTTTCCAGCGACCAAGGCCTCTTGCGGGCAGGCAGGCAGGCAGGTAGGCAGGCAGGCAGGCACGTAAGTGTGCAGCCTTGCAGAGGTGTGGGTGTGCAGGTGTGTAGGTGTGTCGCTGCGTTGGTATGTGTGTATTGTGTACACATGTGCATATGCGATGTACATGCGCTTGTATGTTGAAGGCAAAGACCGTACAAGAGTTTATCGGTATGCCTGTATACAGTTTTTGAGAGGGAGAGGGGGTACAGCCAAGCTTCCAAATAGTCGTGCTTTCCTTCCCAGGAGCCTTCCCACTGCTTCGCTGTCCTCGGTCCGAGACCCAAGATCGACCGTGGAGTGAGTGGTCGGGGTTTTAAGGTGCGGGTTTTCAGAGGCTCAGGTGCAGCTGTGTTCAGTGTCCTTCGACAGCTTCTAAACACAAAGCAATTCACTAAGACGAAGCATTGGAGCTCGGGGAAACTATCATCCCACCAAACACCGCACCCAATCCCAAGATCCCTACTGACTCTTCTGCACCTCCAGTCTGGCTTTCCCTCCATGAGGCGGTCATGGAGAATCTTCGCAGGTACAGTGGACGCCTCAGAGGAAACCTGCGATCAGGGCTTTCGGCAGCTTTGCTTTCTTCAGGTGCTTGGTAACACAGCGAAACACGAGTGTGCTTAAAATCCTAGAAGTCTTGGTGAGAAGGCTTTGGAGCTCTGAGAACTTGTGTGGCGACTCGTCGCCCGCTTTGTGACTAAGACGCTTCCTTGCAAAGTGGACACCAGGACAAAGAGCCCTCCAAAGCCTTAATCTGCAACGTCGAGCGACAGCACCCCCAAAAGCTTGGAGTGAGGTCTTACCATTTACTTTACGGTCAACTGATGATATCGGGCCGTGATCCGTCCAAACTCAGAGCCACCCAACTGCGGGTTTGGAAATGCCATGTTTTCGTCCCTATCTCGGACGCTTTCCGGCAGAAACGGCCCGATCAAGCCGATCAGGGGACGCAGTAAGTAAGGTTATACGTAACTTAGCTAGGATTATATGTGCTTGTAGCTGACTGTCATCAGCTTACTCATGACTCTACTTGCTGAGTCACCAGATGGAGCAACATCCAGCTGCTTGAAGCGTTCAGGGTTTCGGGTTCTCTGCTAGAAAGCCAAGACTGAGTGCCCCTGGACCTTCTGAGCTCTACTTCTTTTTGCTTTTATGGTTGTTGTTCTCTGCTGTTCCTGGATGCCCCCGACAAGACCATCACATGCTGAACCCCGAAACCCTAAACCCCTAAACCCCTAAACCCCTAAACCCTAAGCCCTAAACACTAAGCCCTAAGCCCTTCTTTGAGGTGCCGAGCACCGTTTCAAGAAGGCAGCGCTCCACGTCCTCGCGCGGCAGCAGGAGCTCCGAGTCACAGAGAGCCCACATACCCCTCAATTAGGGAATTTATACCTTAAGTTCTTAAATTATAGGGTTCCTTAAAGGGTCTCTATAATACGCTATAAGGATCTCTATAAGGGAATTAAGGAATTATAGACCATAAATCATAAAGGTATCATTCCTTATTTAAGGGGTATTGGGCTCTCAGGGGTTTTCTCTCTTGGCCTTCGGGCTCTTGACGCATGCTGATCGCGAGGTGTTTTTAGGGAGTGGGCATGCCGAGGGTGTTCAGGGTTTACGGTCTTAAAAAACAGGCTGCCTGCGGGAGTTTTTGACTCCTGTGGGTTTGATGATCGCATACAAGAAAGGTGACTCGCGGAGTCTTGCAATCCTGCGCCTGCGAAGCGCTCGAGCAAGGCTCAGATCTTAAGCCTTCATCTTCAAAGGCTGCCCTAAGCCCTGAACCGCAAATGTTGTTCCGAGAGCTGTTGCCTCGCGGTCAGGACGACGGCACTCTCAGCGCGCCGGGGGGCCCTGTTTCAAGGTCTGTCTCAGGACGCAGGGCTTCAGCCCTAGACCCCAGAGCCCCAGAGTGGCCCCCTCTAAACCGGAAACCCCAAGCCGGGTCCTTAAGCAACCTGCAAGCCCTTGGGCCTGAACCCTAAGCCCTAAGCCCCAAAGGGCCTAACCAGGACCCTTTGTAAACTGCTTGAACGTCCATTCAGACCAGGTTGCGGCAGGTCTTCACCGAGCTGGACCAGGACAGCAGCGCAGTCACTACGCCCCGAAGAAGAGCACTTTCTTGGGTACTTCCATCCCTTGGTAATTCAAGTAAGCCGCAGTTATGCCGTTCTCATGGACCCAAACCCGCGCCCGCAAGCTCCGGGCCAGGACGGTGATGGCATCATCACGTTTAACGAGCTCAAGGAAGGCTTGTCCGAGTCTCAAGAAGATCTTTCAGTCTGTCGCGGTTTCTGGCCGTGGGGCTCTAGGAGGAGAAGGAGCAGGTTGACAAACGATGGCTGATGGGGTTTCATTAAAAAATATATAATATGTAAAAAAATATGGAAAAAGATTATATATATTATATATGCTTCGGGGGGTTCCCTCTGAAACAGAGAGCTGTGTAGTGGTTGGGCCAAGCCGAAGAGTTTCCGAGGAAGAATTCTGGCCACGACGCCACCTTCACCAGCAAGGACAGAAGAAGCTAGAATGCCTTACCCGAAACTCCCAGACTACTAAATTCCTTAGCCCTGAACCCCTGAACCACCAAAACCCTAAACCGTTTAAATACCCATTTTTGCAACCCGTTGCAGGAACCCTTACAGTAATGCTTTACAAGGAACCCCCTAAACCCTAAACCCTAAACCCTATTCCACTGGACGGAGGAGCTCCAGCATCTGGCTCGGGCCGTGGATGCAGATGGCTCGGGCGAGATCGTGGCCCTGGCCCAGCATTGAAGTGCTTTAGGGCTTCCAGTGTAGGTTTTTTGGGTGTTGAGGGCTTTGGTCCTTGGAGGGGCTTAGCGTTTGGGGGGGCTTTCCTAATCTCGGTGGAGTTTAGGAACTATTGTCAATGTAATGGAAACCCAAAAGGGGGGAATTCAGGTTCCTCAACATATCATTTCCTCTTCGGTGCTACGGGCTTGTGGATTATGTCTCCTTGAGTGTTGAGGGTTTGGAGCTTCGTGGTTTAAGTTGTGGCAGGAAGCATGCAAAGCAGCCTCCAAGCATTTCCTCCAAAGCCAGTTGGTTGCATGTTACAGGGAAAAGGGGCATGCCATCGTTACTTTGCTGCCATCGGCTGTAATGATGATGGTATCTTTACATATTCCTACTGTGAACGTGTTCTGCAAGCTCACTCAGGCCACGGGTGACGTCAATAAGCCTGTCAAACCTGCCATACTACGACTCAAGAAGAATGCGAGTAGCTAAGAAGTTTGGCAATGTCAGTCCTACTCAGTTCATTTCTGATTACAGACTGGGTTCTGTCTGTCTCTTACCTTCACCGACACCCGAAGTCCGGCAATCCTCCACGTAGCCAGGACTATACGGAGTTCCTTGCTGCTGCGATGGAGAGAAAGGCAGTTGCATTTTCCTCGGCCGGACGGAGTGTGCTTGAAGTATCGTTTGAGGTCTGTAGTTTGGAGTTTGGGGGTTTGCGGGCGTAGGTTCAGTCCTCGAGAATTAGGGTGTAGACTAAGGGGCACAGGCAGACAGGATGGGTGTATGATGATCTTGCGATCGCTGTCACACACGTGCTCTCGTCCCTCAAGCCACAGTAGGAAAGGTCTCTCAGCCCTGCACTCAAAATACAAGCCAAACTTATTTGGGCAGCTGCACGAAAAAGGCACAGCTGCAACGGAAGTGCCGCTGTTTGGGGGGAGACTAACACCAACCACAACACAGCCCTGAAACCTTCGTCTGGCGCTGACGGCTGCAAAGCGCTTTGCCACACCGTTCCAATGTCTTTGTTGAACTCGACATGCCAATCCGAGAGTTCGGGCCCTCAAGCCCAATCCCTATATAAGTTCCAAGTTCAATCTGAGGCTACAAAAACAGCCCTAGGCCCTAAACCCTAAACCCTCAACCCTAAACCCTAAACCCTAGACTTTAGATGCCAAAGAGAAAGCGATAACTTTCGCTGAGGTGCAGGAGAGCGCTCTCTGGGCGGCCTTCCGGGTCTTCGACAAAAATGGCCTCGTGGCTCCACTGCTTCAGGGCGGTTTAGGGTATAGGGTTTAGGGCGGTTTAGGGTTTATAGGGTTTATAGGGTTTATAGGGTTTAGGGTTTAGGGACTCTAGGGTTCAGGGACTTTAAGGTTTTCAGAGGTGAGGTTAGAGTCAAGAGTTGACGGGTTGGGTTTTCAGAGGTTAGATGAGAGTCAAGAGTTTACGGTTTAGGGTGTAGGGGTGTTTTATGGATTGGAGTCCGAGGGTGTGTGGTCTTGACTGTACAGGGTGGAATTTTTTCAAAGAATTGGCATGTTTTGCAGCTGAAGGCGCTCCGGGGCAGGCTAAGAGTCCGAACTTTGAGCATTTCTGTGGCATGCGGTTTTGGGTCTCATTCTTAGCCGGGCGGTGAAACACCAAAGTGCAAGCTCTGCCTTAAGCAGAAAGCCTGAAAGATCCAACCTTCAGGTTAGAAGTTTGTGCAACATCCAAAGGGTTCTTGTAGGGTTCGCACAGAATCACAGCAGAACCCCAAACTTTCGAGAGCCGTTGGGTTGAGGGTTTGGTTTAGGGCTTAGGGTTTTAGGGTTTTGGGTTTAGGGCTGTACTCGGGCGTCAAGCGGATATGTGTACATCTACACCTAAAACCTTAGAGTGCTAAGCCCTAAAACCCTAAAGCCCTAAACCCTAAACCCTAAGCCCTAAGCCCTAAACCCTAAACCCTGAACCCTAAAACCCTAAAAACCCTAAAGCCCTAAACCCCAAACATCCTGAAAGACCCGAGCCCGGAAGCATTGCTTCCTGCCCAGATGACGGCCGGATCTCCCTAAAAGAGATCCAAGAAGTGCTCGGCACCAAAGAGGCCGGAGCTCCGAAAAGCGCCTTTAATAACGGGGGTTCCTTTCGTTTTCTACAGGGTAGTTCTCTAAAGTAGGGTCCCGTTTTGGGTCCATTTTTTTAAGGGTGCCGTACTAAATTGGGGACTAAAGAAGGACCTTGCTTTGGAGAACTACCCTCAAGTCGGGCGTTGGGGGGGCTCTATTGTTTGGGGCTGTGGGGTTTCGGGGGTTCCGGGCTCTCGAGTCTGTGGCTCTAGCACCAACATTCACAAGTATCTCTGAGAACGTATGGGCTGCGGAGCCGGGGGTGTCTGCAGTCAGGTCAAAAGATCCAAACGAATCGATCTCGAGATCTACATACCTCGTTGTCACCTCTCGGGAGCTAAGAACTCTGGAAAAGCCTTTCCCCTCGTTTTGAAGACTTTCAGGTCAATCGCACCGTGTCGAAGGCGGGCTTTGGACTGCTCGTTCTTGGGGAAACTTGCGCGCTCGATCCTCCGGTTTCGGCTTAAGTTGAGTCGAGATTGGTTTCGCGTGGATGCCTTATTCTCGCATGCAGGATGTTCCGTGTCATGGGAGTGGACCTGTGACATTATTCATGTAGTTTCCATCACCACCAGAAGCCTTTGTCGACTGGCAACCATGGCTTCAGAGGAGCAGATCAAGAAGATATTGGCGGAGGTCGACACGAACGGAGACGGTCTGGGCCTGAGCTGCCGAAGGGACCCCTAGTTTCTCCAGCCAGCTATACCAGCCTTTATCAGCCTTAGCAGTCCCCCAAGGTCCCTCATCTGCGAACTCGATTGGTACAGCGATGTACAGCGTAAGCCCTTGGTTGTTACCTTTCTGGAAATGGGGTTGTGTGCAGGGCAAGCACATAACCCGAATCGCGAAATCAAGCAGATGATGGTAAGGCTTTGAACAGTAGCTTTGGCTTCGGTTGTTACGATTTCCTTCTTCATCCCATCTCCCTTTATTTCGTTTTTCATCCTCCCCTCTTCCTCCGCCGCATCATCATCATCATCATCATCGCCATCGTCACCACCATCATCATCAGCGCCATCATCACCATCACCATCATTTTTACCATCCTCCTCACCACCACCGAAATCATCATCATCACCATCATTATCTCCATCATAATCACAATCATCATCACCACCATGGCCACCGTTACCATCACTTTTACCACCACCACCATCATCATCATCACCATCATCACTGGCACCATCATCATCAACATCGCCATCATCATCGTCATCATCATCCTCATTCTATCCTATCCTATCCTCCTCCTGCTCATCATCATTATCGTCACCAGCATCATCACGATCATGATCACTAGCAGCATCACCATCGGTTTCACCGTCACTATCACCATCACTACCACCATCACCATCATCATCATCATCATCATCATCCCAGTCGTCGCCGCTTCATCGTCGAAGCTTTGTGGCTTGAGTCCCGATTTTTTTCCGTTCTTAAACCGCCCCAGCAGCTCGAAGTCCCTTCGGATTGACAGGCTCAGGTGCCTGAACAGCAGCCCTCGAACCCAACGTAAAATCGAACCACCTCCCGCCGCGTCGAAATGCATCGGCCCACATCTCAAGCCTGAAAGCCCCGCTTCAAGGCCTAGGCCCTTGGAGTTCAAATTTCAGCCTCTTGGGATCCCAAGCCCTGCGCCGGGACCGTCAGGTTTCATCGATTTCCACGAGCGGCTTCCTGAGATAGCCGTGGGTTGGGTTTCCATTTTTTAATACCAGTGAGTGTGTCATTGTGTGTACATATACATATATATATATACATACATACACACACATACACACATGTGCGTGTGTGTGTGTGTGCGATAAGCTGAATAAAGACTTATGTAGACAAATAGAGACAGAGAGACAGACATACATACATGCATTTATACATATATAAAAATTATGCACATGCAAAATCGACAGGTACACAGGGATATAGGCAAGTAGATAGGTCGAGAGGTCGCAAGCCTTGAAGGGTTTAGGGCTACGAGGAGTTTCCGTGGTTGGGGGGACTTGTTTCCACATTTCCAGATGTTGTGGTCCTGAGGTGAATCCTCGACTCAGTGGGGTGCACTTGGTGCTGTGAAGACCTGCAAGAGTGCAGATGTCAGGAAGCGAACTCCACATCATCAGGAAATCATTTCGAATCTGTGCGACTGAGCCCAGCAAACCGTAGCATTCGAAAGACCAGAAGCTTTTCAACCCCCAGGCAAGCGGGCGTACGAGGGGCAAGGAATTTTGAGACGCAAAGCGGTGAGCTCTGAATCCATAAGTGAACTTAAGCCATCAACCCTGAAACCCCTAACAGTCCCGAAGGCTACTGCAAGGGCTCGTCCTTCTCGCTCGGCCCCAAACCCCACCGGTCTCGGACTTCTGGAGGTTCATCGCGATGATGAGATCGTAGCGGCTGAGTTGGGGGCTTAATCGGCGCGCATAAGGCCCCGGACTTGTCATTTTGTGGGGTCTGGATTTGGGGTTTAGGATTGCTCTGGAGGTGTTTGCGGCGAAAATGATTATGAATGCTGTGAAGATGAGTCTTAGTCTTTTGGCACTACCAACTTCGGTTCTGTATTCGCCAACAGGCACAGCTTTCGGGCCCATCACTTACCTAGTCGGGGACAAGTGTGGGCGGTGTCCGGTCATGTTCTCGCTTTGCCGTCGGTGCCGTTGTGGGTCGGTGTTTTAGTCGGTGTCCCGGTCAGTTTCCATCCCTGTTGTCAGGGTCCCTGTCAGTACGGGCAGGTCCTAGTCAGAGACTGAGCAGTTTCGGCGATTGTGACAGCGCTTGACGCAATACAGAGCAGCTTTTGTTTGCTTTTGGGTCTGCAGCTGAGTTAACTATCATCATCTCTGCTTTTCTTGTCAATGCTAGTGTTCGTCTGGCTGCTAGTGTCCTCCACGAGTCGTCTCTAGTGTTGCACTAATTATCTCCTGTCGCTCTTTTTCCCTCTCTCTCTCTCTCTCTCTCTCTCTCTCTCTAAATAAATAAATAAATAAAAAAAAATATATATGTGCTCTGTTGTAGTATACTGAGAAGTGTTTGTTGTAGTGGGCCTTAGCTTCCCAGGACGGCAGGTAACTCAAACCTGGAATCCCGAAGTCCTGAGCCCGATGCACTTTGGCGCCCGAGGCAGAGACAGCTGCAGCCCAACGGCGTTTCTGTCGCGCTCAGCAAGCAGCATGTGATCAATCCATTTCTTGGGTTTTTGGTCATGCTCTTGACTCTAAGGTGTTTGGTGTTTGGGAGTTAGGGTTTGGGAGTTCAGCCTTCAGGGCTGCACTGGCTCTGGCAGCGCAGTTTTTTCTGCTGGTACGGTCGAATTACCTGTGCGGTTATCGAAGACACGGGTTCGCAGAGTTATTTTGTTTCATCTAACGCTCTTATCTTCGCGGCTATTGCTTGCATGCTGCCTAGCCCACGGGGCGAAGCCTACCTCTCTTGTCGCAGAGCTTTGATCGTGGAGGTCTCGGCTGACTTTCAGGGCATAGGTGCCATGGCGGTGATGCATAAGTCTTCGCCATCACAAATATGATTTTAAAGGTCCAGGGGCTTTAGGGTTTAGGGCTCCGGGCGCTTGCATGTCGCCTTGCTCTGTGTTCTGAACCTGTACCTTTAAGTATTAAGCGCAATCACAAAAGCCCCAAACTTTTAAATCACGACTCTCAACCGAAATCTCCGGCATCCCCAGCCTAAATGTATAGGGCCAGCCTAGACTTCGAGAGCTTGAACCAAATGCAACACCACCCTACGCCCCAAACCCAAACCCAAAGACCAGCTTAAGCCCTAAAGCCACGTAGGCACAAGACTAGTGACCACCTAAGCCCTAAACCCTAAACCTTAAGCCCTAAACCCGGTGGGACTGGCACTGTATTGCACTTTAAAACAAAACCCTAAACCCCAAAACCCTAAACCCTTAAGCCTATATGCAGTTCGTAAGCTACCTTGGTTGGCTTTGGTGCTTGTGCATACCGACTCAATGCTGGCATAGCGCCTGAATGCCGGCCTTGTTTCGGGACCCAGTAGTTCAAGATGGGCCCGAACCAAAGACTCGGAACCTCCTTTCACCTTTAGGGTTTAGGGTTTAGTGTTTAGAGTTTAGGGTTTAGGGGCTTCCTGTTGTAGACGAGCCACAGAATCTCACAGATTTGCGAGCTCTGAGGGGTTCCCAAACTCACGCCTGGGGTTTTCCAGCTGTTGAAGAATAACCTACAACCAGAAGCTTCGGAACCGAACTCCCTGAACAAGAGCCCCGTCAAAGACTTCACCGCCACCTGCTGACGGAAGCCCGCCGATTGGTCCACGCTTGACGAGCATTTGCAGCAACACCGGCAAGCAAACTGCTGATGTCGGGTTTCGGGCTCAGGGTTTAGGTTCATGACAGGACCCTTGTCCATGTGTGTAGAGGACTGCTGCCTTGTGAGAAACTGGTTTCCTCACGGCCAAATAACTGAAATAAACCCACAGGTCCCCATGACTTGAATGACAGAACCTTGGAGGTTCTCGTCAGTGTGCAGCTGCGTCGCATGGTCGCGCAATCTATGCAACTTATCCAGTAACCGCAGGCAATCGTCTCTGTTACTCCTTACCTTGTTGAAAAAACCAACGGCCGAAAACCACAGCCTTGCTTTGCACTTTGGGTCTTCTTTCTACTCAAAGCACCCAAAGTAACAAGACAGAGGGCGCCAGGAATCCCAAGACGTGCAGGATTGGTTTGGATGTTCTGCGCATAGCTTGCTTGCTTGTGTTGGCATGCCAGCACGATTCAGGTTTCACAGCCAGGGCCCGCTCTCGCCGGTGCATCTTTTAAAGGAACGCGCGTCAGAAAGGATTTGCTCCGGGCTGTCTCCAAGCACGACTACTTTTTTGCAGAGGGCACGTGTTGCATCAGCAGCCAGCTGGATCACAGCAATGGGTCACAAGACAGACATGCTTGCTCTTGGCAGTCTAAGACTGAAGCAGGCCAAGATCCGGAAAACAATGGGTTCTCAGGACACGGATAAGCGCATCCAGTTTTCCCCAAAGGCCTGCAGCTGCTCCCCACCATGAGCCGCGGTCCGAAGGGAACGCTTTGCTTGATACTCGGAGGATCACGGGACCCAGCACTTCGGGCAGGTCATCTCTAACACCATCTACGTATGCAGAGTGCTTTGCACCCTATTCCAACTTACCCAGTATGGCAATTCAAGCCCACATGCTTCAACCCCCATAAAGCCAAAACCCTTAACACCTAAACTCACTAAACCTCAACCCCTAAACCCTCAACCCCTAAACCCTAAACCTCTAAGCCCTAAACCCCCCATGTAAATCCTAAGCCCATAAAGCCTCAACTTCCTGGACACCTAAACCCAAGACCCGAAACCGTTACCTACCCATGATCCTCCAAGCTTCCCTGATGCGTCCAATGGATCGAATCGCTCCGGCGATGCCCAGACAAAGATCTTCTGGTTCGCCTCGCAGCCGCGTGGTGCAGGACTATTTAGGGTTTGGGGTTTGGGGTTTAAGGATTTAGGGTTTAGGGTTTAGGGTTTAGGGTTTAGGTAGTCTTATCATCTTCGTCAAGATAGTTGTGCTATGCTTGTAGTAGTACTGTGCTATAGCTTTATGCATTTGTTGCTCCGGTGTTGCTGTACGGGTAGTGTATAGCGATTATTGTTCTCTGCCGTCACTGGTATTCTTGTTGTAATCAGTTATGTCCTTATCATTACTTCTAGTATCGTATGTAGCCGATTGTACCATGTGCAGGATGGGTGCGGCTCATTCTCCGACGCATCCTTGGCATATCAGGCGGTTCAACTGAGGGCTTGGCGCTTTGGGCGTGGGGTCTCTTCGTTTGGGTTTAGGGCCTCAGGTTCCGGGTTTCGGCCTGAAGCAGAGAAGAAGGTGCCTGGTGGCCACTCTGGCCTTTCAAACGCTCGGCGGGACGTCTGTGGAGCCTGGAGAGGTGGTCGTATCACTGACAAGGCAACGGAGGCCCTTGCCCGACAGCTGGGGGCGACGGCAAAGCACGGTCGAGTACTTTGCAGAGGTGGAAGTCGGCTCGCCAAGCCAGAGCTTTCGCATGATCTTTGACACTGGGAGTGCCAATGTTGTGATCCCTTCGAGTCATTGTTTAGCACCAAGCTGCCTGCAAAGCAGGCGCTACGATGCCAGCCGATCGAGCACAGCAGAGCGCGAGCTGTGCTCGAAAGACATCGAGGCCAGCAACTACACACGCGAGGCCGTGACGCTGGCGTTCGGCACGGGACAAGTCACCGGCCACTATGCGAAGGACCAGGTGTGCCTGGGAGAAGGCCTCTGCGCAGCCCTGAGCTTTGTGGAGGCCACGAACCAAAGTGAGCACCCCTTTCTCAATGCGCCCTATGATGGAGTGCTTGGCTTGGCCCTTCCTCAGCTTTCCCAGGATCACGGCTTCTGCCTCTTTGACGAGTTGGTGCCTTTGATGTAATTAGTAACTCTTTAGGAATAATATGGCTCATGGCTCTTCTTGTTCTTTTCAACATCACAATTCCAAGCCTGATTAATATGACCATCACTATTGTTGCTGTTGTTGCTGCTGCTTGTATTGGCACAGTCTGATCAAACTGCTTTTTTCTCTGTGACTGTAGGTAAAGAGTCGGAAGCTTGCCCGGCCGCTCTTTGCCGTCTACTTCTCCCTTGAGGAGGGCGAGATCAGCTTCGGGAAGGTGGATGTTAAGCGGATGGAGTCCGAGCTGAAGTGGGCCCCCGTCTGGAAGCCTGGATTCTGGCAGGCGGGGGCCCTCAAGCGTAAACCCCAGGGCCCGAAACCCTCAACCGTCCTTCAAGACGCTGCTTCCCGATGTATAGCTTCCATGGACTTGCAGCCGAAGCTCAGTAGAAGCCAATGAAAGCTCAGTTCCCAATCCCCCTGTCTCACCACCACAGCTGCTTGAAGCTCCCCCCCCCCCACCCTAAACCCTAAAAACTTGGACCCGAAGCCCTACAGCCTAAACCCTACACCCTAACCCCTAAACCTTAAACCCCTAAACCCCTAAACCCTAAAGCCTAAATTAAACCCCTCTAGTGGCCCTACAGCCTAAACCCTAGAGCCTAAACCCTATAGCCGCTTCAGGTGTCCCTCACGGATCTGACCCTGAATGGCTCGAAGACCGAGCTCTGTGGGGCCCCGGGCTCCTACACCGCCTGCGCCGCCGCCCTCGACACCGGGAGCCACCAAGTTCAGCGGCTGTTTTGGGGGGTTTTAGGGGTTTAGCGTTTAGGGGTTTAGGGGTTTAGGGTTTAGGGGTTTTAGGGTTTAGGGGTTTAGGGGTTTAGGGTTTAGGGGTTTAGGGGCTTTAGGGCTCACGTGTTCCTCTAAGTTGTCTGGTTTTTTTCGTCATTTTGTAGGCTCTTTCATGTTGATGAGTTGCTAGAGGGGTTTAGTGGTGGCTTAGCATTGGGTCTAGCAGTTGGGGTTTGGGGGTCTTAAGGTGTCTTTTGTGGGACTTTGCGGCAGCTGATCGAGTTCTGGCAGCAGTCTCGCGGGATTGTGTGTTTTTACAGATCTCTTGTTGACACCCCTCTTCCAATACACCGGCTGTTTCATTCCCTAGACCTACAGGGCAGAAGCCACCAACATCCAGAATGATCGTCAAAACAGTCGAAGCAGCTGTGGCAATAATATAAATGGTGATGACCGAAATGACCGTAGTCAAACCGTGAGTAGCGGTGATCCCAGTGCCAACAAGTCCCATGGCTGCAGTTTCAGCACCCTCCATAGTTAGACTGCCAACACTCTCCCTGGATGTGTGAATGAACAGAACGTATAACACGACTGACAGTAGTAACGATTCTTCTTGTCGCCGGTAAGATTGTGATTATCCCCACCGTTCTCCCAAACCCTGATCTCCTTACGGCCCTAAAGCCCTGCAGTGGCTCTTCTAGTGACCCCGAAAGTTACCGCAGGCCGTCTCTCTTTCTCTGCAGATCGGAAGAGTTCCCAGCAGCCAAATGAAGGGGCCTGAAGGATTAGTATCCCCTCACACCTATGCAACTCTACTCGAAGATACTCCAAAAGCATGTTTTCCGGAGGCCCCGAGTTTAGAGCCTTAAGAGCACTGTAAGAGCACCCCTGTTGTATCCCTTATAGAACCCTCAACGGGAACAACTTCTAAATAGTAAGGCCCCTGCATTTCCAGGACTTCCGCGTTGACAGCGCCCACCCGCCTCGCGCGGCAGCTGGCGGAGCTTCTCAAGGCCGAAGCAGCAGAGTAGTAGTAGTGGTGGTAATCGGAGGAGTGGTAGTAGTAGCAGTAGTAGTAGTAGTAGTAGTAGCAGCAGAAGTAGTAGTCGTCGTCGTGGTAGTATCAGCAAGACAATTCGCAATCTCTGCTACCGGTAGTATTCATAGTCACAGCCGGAGACTCCCCGGCAAAGCATGCACCTGTAACTCAGTATGGACGTTGATGAGTTCAGACCAGTGCAACAAGGCAAAGTACATAGAAAAACCCGAAAAGGTGCATCCCCAACGCCTAATCCTGGACTCCAACTCTCTTACCCTCAAGCCCTAGGCCCTAGACGCTTCAACCCTCGACAGACATGATTGGCAGGTTGCACCGGATTGCAGCAATTTCGATGCACTCCCTACCCTTGGCTTCCTCTTGGAGGAGGTTGCAGCATCGGGACAGTACAGGGTCGCTTTCGATTTTTTACTTCGATAGATGTTGCAAGCATTCTCAGACTCAAGAGTGTTCTTTCTAGGGCTTCGAGTTTGATACAGTGGTTCAGCAGATTGTAGAAGATCCCGATGTCGGTCGTGCTCATACTGGTGGCGATTATATATATGTATGTATGTGTCATCTTAGCAGTCACCATGATTGTCATCAAGACCCACAATGATATCCACATGCATTGTCATCACCCTTGCCGCCTCATTCCCATCCTCTTCCTGATCCTCTCCTCATGCTTCGTTGCCATGCTTCGCCTGCTCGTAAGCCCATGTCTTTGTCTTGATGTCAACCGTTCCCCTGCTGATCCTGCTAGCCCGGCGCGTGCACACTGAATCGCAGACACGGAGCCGAGCCAGTTCCCAGAAGCGTACGATCCGAGCTATTGTGCTGAAGAATTTCTCTGCCGGTGTACAACGCCGGACTGCAAACCCTGCACCCCAAGCCTATATATCACGCAAAAGACTTGTCATATTCGAGCAGTTCAAATTGTCAGACTCTGGCAGACGGCAAGGGCGCCTTTACAAACTGAAGCCCTTTAAACCCCAACGCTCGAAACCCGACACCCGAAGCCCAAACCGTAAAAGTCTAATCCCTATTGAAGGGCCTGAATAATTACGAACACTACCGCTTCGGGGTCCTTGTGATTGTATTTATATAAAGAGACTACTAAAACCCATTTTTCTGATTGTTAAAGGCCCTTCTATTAAAACAAACCCTTTGACCGAAGGCGGACTTGGAGCTGCAGCTGACACCGCAGGACTACGTGGAGCGGGAGGAGGTGCTTTTGGGTGTAGGGGTATTTTGGGGGAGGTCGGGGTTCGGCGTTTTGCGGCCCTCGTCGGGCTTGTTGTGTTTCGAGTTTCGCGGAAAGCTGTCTTGGATTTCGAGGAGTTTCCAGGAATTTATGGGTTTTGGGAGGGGGGGGAGCGGGCAGAGTTCAGGCAGTTTGGATTTGAGTTTCATGGACTTGCGGCTTGCCCATGAGAGTTTGGGATCTGCCAGAATCCGTCGTCTAGAAGGATTTCATGCTTTAACTACTAAACCCCAAACCCCAAACCCTAAACCCTAAACCCTAAACCCTAAACCCTAAACCCTAAACCCCAAACCCTACCTAAGCCCTACCTAAACCCTACAAACCTTCGACCTTGGAGTCTCCAAGTTGCGCATTGCCTGCTTCCACTGAAGCCTCCCTGGCTCGGGTTTCCAAGCCTCCGGGTCCAGATCCCGGGAAGGTTTGCTGTGAGACCTGAGGGCAGCTTGAAAAAGGAAGCTGGTCACAAGGAGAAGTCTCGCTGAGCTTCAACAATCCAACTCCCCCTCCCCCCATACCACAGAGCCTTCTTGTAACCCTTGTAGATCCTCCGCTCCGTCCTTCACCAGGGTACCTGCGAGCTGCAGCTAATGGCGGTAGACGTCCCGCGTCCTGACGGTCCGCTTTTCCTGCTTGGTGATCCTTTCCTGAGGTGCATCGGGGGTCGGTGTGATTCGGGTCATTGTGTCCTGTGTGTGTGTGTGTGCGCACTGCTTGGATGGCTTGAAACGCTGGAGGGGTGAGACTTGTGTCGAAGGCGGTACTACACCGTCTACGATCGCCAGCGCCTGCGCATGGGCTTCGCATTGGCACGCCAAAGCATCAATGAAAAGAGCGACTGGAATGAGATAAACAAGCACTGGTCGACTTTCGAATAGAGCTTTGCCACTCGCTGCCTCAAGAAGAGATGGGTGGGAGGCCGCAGGAATGTCATGACTCGGGAGATGACCATCTCAGATTCGTTTCTATACCTCAGGGTGACCTCAGCAAGTAACAGACACAAGCACACACAGATCTACAATGAAGTACCTGGCCATAGTCTACACCGATCCCAAGCACTCTGTATAAGTCTGGAAGCCGTCTCTGACTTCACGCGCGACGCCATGGCTTCGTGCGGTGCCCGGTCTTGTTGTTCTGAGGGTTACCGGCGTTACCGGACTCTGCTCTGCTCGACTGTACCTGAGCCCCTGAGTTTGATTTTGCTTAATTATGTAACACTATTATCGCTCCTCTTCTTACTACAGGATGATGATGATGATGATGAGGAGAATGAGAAAGTCCTTTTTTGTACATCCTCCTCCTCCTCCTCCTCCATGTCCTGGTTTCCTTACGGTTGTTGCTGTTGTTCGTGACTATGGCGACGAAGGCAAACCTGTGTGCCGCACGTGCCCTGCACGAGAAGCTCTTCACTGTTCCTGTGTTTTGCGGCGCCTGCGACCAAGGAAAGGCAAGCTTACCTCGCCCCAGGAGCAGACCAGCGAAGCAGTGGAGGGAGGGCCCCACAGAGCCCAATATCCCTTAAATAAGGAATATACCCTTAAACTATAGGGGCCTTCTCATATTTTGTATGATTTAAGGTCTCTATATTCCCTAATTAAGGGGGTAGTTGGGCTCTCTGGTGGGGCTCTCCGGACCTTTCGAGTTCAGGGCTTCTGGCCCGTGGTCGGAAGCCCTGGAGTCCCTCTGGAAGAGTTTTTTTTTGCATGTCGCAACAAGGAGCCTTTAGGTCCGAAACCTCCCCAACATGCATCTGACCCCTGCCGGCATACTTACGAAGAGGCTCAAGAAAGAGAGCCTCTAAATCCTTCATCCGAGACTTCCAGGCTGCAGATGCAGAAGCAGAGCCCCAGGCACACGAAGCCCAAGGCCCCAAGATCCAGAACGCGCCGATCGAAACCCCTGCCGGCTCCGTTGGAACTGTGGGGAAAGGGAACATCCAACCCCTTCCGAGGCCCAGGGCTTCAGGCCTTCGGCTTGCATCTGAGAACTTTTGGGGGGTTTTGACTCGGTTTTGACTTCAATCCCGAAGTCCAAGGCCCGAGGCCCGAGGCCGAAGCCCGAGAGCTGAGAAGCCCTAAACAAGCTTCTCAAATCCTTCCAAAGCTCAAACCTGGATGCTTCCAAAACCCCAAAGAATCCCCAGCTACTTAGGGTTTAGGGTTTAGGGGTTTAGTTTGGGGGTTTAGGGTTTAGGGTTTGCTTGTAGCAAGAAGCCAAGGGCCCTACACCTTTTTTGGGACTCTTTGTCATGCGAAGGAGTCCCTCCAGCAGGTGTCCACACATGTTCCATCGACACGCTCCTCGGGCCCTGCTTTGGGGTTTTACATTCACGCCTCGATGGGTTCCAGGGCTTTAGAGTCTACGGCTTGGATTGTAGGGATTTCGAGAGAAATTCAAAACCCTTCAAACTCTGTTTGGTCATCCCTGGACCCTCCCCAGTGAAACTCTCAGGCCATGTTTCTCGGGTTTGGGGTGAAGGGCTTTGGTGCGTAGGATGCAAGATTCCAGCCCAAAGTCTGTGCAATAAATTGAAGGCTTTTGTGCATGAAGTTGCGAGCCGTGAAGCCCGGAAGACGAGCTGATCCTGCAGAGCATTCTGCAGGTTCCCTAAACCCTAAACCCTAAAAAAACCCTAAACCCTAAACCCTAAAAAAACCCTGAACCCTAAACCCTAAACCCTAGTCGTTATGGAGGGGTCCTGGAGTTGGGCCCAGGGTTCAGACGCCTTCCTTGCCTCGTCAACGGCTGGATTCCACCGAAGCCCCCGGAAACGAAACCCTGGAGCATTCTGAACCTTGAGGTTCCTCTGAACCCAAAACCCCGACGGACTAGGCCGCAGAAGCTCTAAGCCCTAAACGCCCTTTAAGCTGCGTTAGCCCTGGATGCAGCAAGCCCTCTTCATCCTGAACCGCCCGAGACCCCCAAGCCTAAACCCTCCAAGAATGCAGAAGCCCTAGAAGAAGAACTCCAAAAGAACCTTACAGAGACCCCTACAGAGACACCCCTAATCGTATCCCTTAGAGCACCCCGGAGCCTGAAACCGAGACTCGCGCGATGGCATCTCCATGGACACCTCCAGCTTCAACGACCGAGGGCCCCAGTCGCGGCGACGAGTTCTTTCGGACTCCTTTTAAGGGTGCCGTAGTAGGCTGCCCCCTTAAGGGCTCCCTTAAGGGCTCCTTGAAGGGCTCCTTGAAGGGCCCCTTGAAAAGCCCTTTTTGAGGGGTTTTTGTGGGGTTTTGGGGCTCAGGGTTGGATCCTCTGAGTTGAATGGCTCCGGAAGATCCTGGAGAAGGGTTCCGAAAAGGGTTAAGGGTTTAGGGTTTAGGGATTCCCCTCAAGGATCCGATAGGGCTTCAGGGTTCTGCTCAGGGGATTAAAGGCTCCATCTAAGGCTGAACCTCAGTATGGGCCCTTAACCCTGGGATCCTTGTGTACCTACTATATACCCCAAAACCCTAAACCCCAAACCCTAAACCTTGAACCCTAAACCCTAAACCCTAAACCCTAAACCCCCATACGTACCCTCACAGGTCCCTAGAACCCCCTTAGAAGGCCTAGAGGTCCAGCTAGGGGCCGATACCTAAAAGCTTAGACTCCAAAGGTTCTAGGGTTCTATAGAAGGTGCTTTCGGTGGTTCTGTCTTTCAGATCCTTTAGTCTATCCTTCAGTTCGGTGGGTTTTGACTTTCAGAGCCTTTAGCGGTCTATCTCAAGCCATACGTGTTACAAGAACAGTTCCGTTCAAAGTAGTAGCTCTCTGAGAATCCCTCCAAGACCGAGGTACTTCCGGCCCTTGAGCACCCACCAGGGCCCAGAAGGAGAGCCCCCACATTCTGAACACCCAAATCGTCTGCCCAAACATCTTCTGATTGTGGCGTCGCTTTGCAAACGAGTGCCCCCTGCCAGGCATGTTAGCGGGGCGACCGGTGGATCGCAAATTAGTGGAGGCCGGGGTATGATGATGATGATGATGATGATGACGACGGCTGCGGCTGCAACTACGATTTAGTGCGTGCATTCGGATGATGGTTTGTTTGACTTGATTACTTTGAGCTTTTGACACGGCCGGTTCGCAACTCAATCGTAGTCATGAAGACTCTCTCGTTTCTCTTACAGACCCGCCTGTGGCCTTTCGAGGTTCTGCTTACGTCTGACTCTGGTGGTCGACAATCGTGTGTTCGCGAACCGATTTTAGGTTCAATTTCTCAGTCGAGCGTTTAGAAGAGTCTGCAGTACAGAGATGCTGCCATGCTGTTGCAACTGCTCTATTCCGCTTGCTATACTATAATACTGACAATAATGATGATGATAACAACCAAGAGGAGTATAGTGCTATTGCTATACCTATTTGAAAATGTGTGTTCTTATTACCTTGGCCATCGCGATTCCCCGATGGCTAGAGCTGAAGCCGGATCCCAAAGCCCAAACAGAACTGTGGAGCGTTGACCGGCCTTATATAACCGGCTGAAAAACTCAGAAAGCTTTTGGCGAATCTGAAGGATCGTACAACGACTACCGTCAGAACCACAGGTGCCGCACTCAGCAACCGAAGCGAGGTTGGGTTGAAGGTTTGCGGTGTTGCGATGGGTCTTCCAGGGTTGTGTAAGGGATCGCAAGGGCATGCACGTCTCTTTGTTCCACGGCCGACACGCGCGGGTTGGGCAGTGGCTTTCGCATGTTGCAGAACTCAGGCAGGTCACTGCACCCCTTCAAGCCCGCTTTCCTGAGGTCCAAGCACCAAGTACTCGACCCCATCCCCATTATTGCTAAGGGAACGACTCGAGCGTGACATCGAGCTGACCACGGGAAAGTGCCTTCCTCAGTCCTGTGACTGTAATATGCTTTTTTATATACCCCAATGTACTATGGTATACTCTAATATACTAGAATATACTATAGTATACTCTGATACACTATACTGTACTATAGTATACTTTAAGTATATTTATCAAAAGCCTAATATACAAGAATAGACGATACTATACTAGAATATATACATACATATATATATATATGTGTATACATCCATATATTTTATGCTATACTGTAACATACTACAATGTGTCTTAGGCCTCAGGTTTCGGCTTTCGGATTCGGGGTTCTCCCATTCGAGCCACCTCGGCCCAAGCCTTACGTCCGACATCCCTAAACCCTAAAAGCCCTAAAAGCCCTAAACCCTAAAAGCCCCAAAAGCCCTAAACCCCTATAACCCTAAACCCTAAGCCCCTAAATCCGAAACCCCTAAGCCCCTAAACGGATCATGGTCGGTGTTGACGGGAGGTCTCAAAGAGATCGTTGTTCTGAAGCCTCTTCCTCTGCCTCTCCTGAGGCTGAGGAGGACGATTCTTTAGGGTTTAGGGTTTAGGGTTTAGGCTTTAGGGTTCGTATTCCTGTTGTGCAAAGCTCCCGGAACCCTGAAAGCCGAAATTTAGTGATTCTTGTGCTGTTTGGAGCCCCAAGGTCCGAGGCTTTGAGGGAAAAAAACCCTTTGAGGGTCGTTACGTTGGAGAACTTTAGAGGGTTTCGGTTTGTAGGGGCTTTTAAGGGTGTCATAGGGTTATTGAGTTTTACACGGCTTTAAGGGGATTACTTTATAGGGTTTGAAGAGTTTGCTTAGCGATCATGACCTGAATCAGGCTTTAAGTTACAACGAGAACCCTACTGACAAGGTCCCCTGATCCTTAGCAGGCCACGGCCTTCATACGTTTCTAAACACAACCTCGAGATACAACCCAAAACCCTTCAGCCCGCCCTAAACCCTAAACCCCGAAACCCCTAAACCCCGAAACCCCTAAACCCCGAAACCCCTAAACCCCCAAACCCCTAAACCCCTCAACCCTAAACCCTAGGCCCAAGCTCGATATCAAAATCTTAAA